CCCGCCATTCTCTCCCTGCCACTGGACCCGCTGGGCCTTGGAGGTGTCATGCTGTGGTGTCCCCATTCCTGGCTCAGTGCTCTTCTCCTCCAGGGGACAGGGAGGGAGAGGCTTCCAGGGGATTTTTCCATGCCTTTGTGTGTTTCTCTGGGCCTGGATTCTGATTATCCTGCTCTTCTGGGCTCCAGTGGAGGCTATGGTTCTGTTCCCCCCCCCCCCCCCCCGCCTCCCCAGCGGTAGAGGCTTCCTCCCACCACCTCACATCTCTGGGCCGAAGGCCCTGGTTCTCAGCTAGGTGGCTTGGCTGCATTTCTTTTTCGTCTCTTTGCGGAGTGTCTGGCCTTTACAGCTTCTTCTGTGTACGTGTGTCTCTGTCTTCATGCTGTGTATATAGGGTTTTAAGCTTTGGGTCAGCATGTCCCAATCTTACTGGTAGGAGAGGCCCCCCCCCTCTGTCTTCCTGCTGTATCCCTTTAGCCCCCCCATCCTCCCTCCCACTTCAGTGCTCCATATAGTGAAGGTCTAAGGATGGAGCTGTTGAGGGGTGACGGGCTCTGGGGGAGGCTAGGCCTACAGGGTTGTCCCGCCCAGAACAGGTGGGCCCGCTGATCTGGTTGACAGCTGCATTGCCTGTCTCTTGCTTCCCCTGGCTCCCCCACCCCCACATACACTCACACCCGTGTCTGGGCACGTGCAGAAGGGCACTCCATGCAGTGACAGAGAGCTGGCCTTATTTTCTATGCCTCTACCTGACAGCTGAGTGACAAGCCACTGTGCTTTCAAGCAGGGAGGAGGCTGGGAAGGGCGGGTGTTGCAGCGTCAGCCTCCCTGTGTGAGTTACCCCAGCCCTCTGGGCCCATCAGGCCCAGCACCAACCCTGCCTCCCTCAGGAGGCCTCGCTGCCCATGACCCTCACCACTGGGCATAGCAGGGCCAGGTCCAGGGAACCTGAGGGGGGAGGGTGACTGTGCGGCCCAGGGCCGAGCCTGGTCTGGTTCTACTCTAAGGGAACTCCCTGTCCAGCTGGGAATTGAAGACCCAGTGTATGTGGAGAGAGCTACCTTGCTTCCCAGCTCTTTGCTTTCACAGTACTGGGAGGGAGGCTTTATTCCTTCCATTTCATAGAGGAGAATGTGAAAACCCAAGGCAGTTAGATGGCCCAAGGTCACACAGCTAGTAAAGGTATGGCTGGGACCCTGTGTCCCATGGCTAGCCAGTCAGTCTGGGTGAGAACTCTGGGTGCTTGGGCCCTCAGACTGAGCTTGAGATGGCTAAAGAGACTTGGGTCCTCACTCTGTCGGTCAGTGGCTGTGTGACTTTGGGCAAGTCCAGTCACCTCTCTGACTTGACTTCCTCACTTGTAAAGTAGAGATGATGACACCTGTGATGCAGAGCTGTGAGTGTGAGGTGGAAATGAGATCATATCTGTGAAATGCTGAGATGGCCCTGAGGGACAATGGGAAGATTGGGCATCTGGGCTTTTTCTTGGGGGGCCCTTCTGGTCCTTGATGCTCTCCCAAACTCTCCATCCTAAGGTGAGCCCAGCTGGTCTTCCCTCCCACTGGAAGCTGCCCAGGTGTTCTAAACGCCTTCAAATCACTGAGGATAGATGATCTGAGGGCTGGAGGCTCTACGGCAGGGCCCAGTGTCTTCTCACCAAACAGAGTCTGCAGCTGGTCAGAATGGAGCAGAGCCAGTCTCCTCCCCTCCCTCAATGGGGAGTCATTCACACCTCCCAACCCTAAGTTCCTAGCACTGGGGTCTACTTTTCTGAGTGTCTTATTGTTGACAGGTTTGGGGAAAGACCTGACCCCAAGTCCCTGGGTCAAAGGGAGAGGGTCAGAGGGAGGAGAGGCATACCATGAGCAGAGGGGTGAGCAGGGGCTGGATCAGGCAAGGCGAACAGGCCTTGGGCTTGGGTCTACTCAGCAAACATAGACCCTGTGCAGAGCAGTGACCAGGGCAGCTCCACTGGTTGAGTCCCTACCATGAGAGGCTCCAGGGATGGGGAGTGGAGGGATACCACAGACATGGACACCTAACCTTCCATTGCCACATGCAAAGAATATACACTCAAACCCAACAAGCCTTGATGGCTGGAGACTGAGACAGGGTCCAGACAGATGTCCTGGCTAAGTTGAGCTAAGGCTTGGGGGGAGCGTGGGGAGGGGAGAATAAGCCCCAGAGATCTGGGGCCCAGAGGAGGCCTTGCTCAGAACCATTCCAGGGACTTAGAGGTGACCTGGAGTGGAATCCCTCACCAGGAAGGGAAGCTGTTAGAGCTGGTACCATCTGGGAAGGCTTCCTGGAGGAGTGGGCCAGAGGTATAGTAAGTGGTGGCAAGGGACAATAGGTAAGCTGGGTCTCAGGGAATTGAACACAGAGAAAGCATCCTGTGTCTGGCTTCTAGCAAAGCCTTCCCATTGAATAGGGACCGCCCTGTCAGGGATGCACACCCTATCCCTGGAGGTGTGGGTGCAGATTCTGGGCAACCCCTTAGGGACTCTGTACTGTAGATCATCAGATTCTTGGATGGAGGCATTAGTTTCTGGGGCTCCTTTTCCCCATCCTTAAAATGGGAAGAAGAATAACATCTATCTACCTCACAGGGTGGTCAGAAGGATGAAATAATGTATAATGCTTAGAGCAGTGCTTGGTGTGGAGTAGAGCTCAGTTAACCTTTTTTTACGAAGAGACCTGGGATCTAGCCTTGTCTGAGAGTGGGTGAACCCTACCCCCACCTGGCTGTGTGACCTTTGGCACCGACTTCACCTTTCTGAGCCATCTTTTCTTCATCTGTGGCAGGAGGTCACAGTTCCCATGCTCAGGGGTGGTTTGAAGCCCAACCTAGTAGGGTCTGACCCCACAGCATGGATCCTGAAGGTGGGGTTTTCAGAGTTGGCAGCTGGAGTGGGGGGTAGGCTGGAGGCATCTTCCTTTGCAAATGTGAGAGTTATTGATTGTTTTGGGTCCTTTCCAGGAGCCCAGTGGAAAACCATGAAGTAAACAGTAGATAACCAGGTCTGCCAACAGTTATGGGGGTGGTGGTGAAGGATTGAGGGGCATACTCTGGAAAGGAAGGAGTTTGAGATGCAGGGAGAGGGCCCTCCCTGCACAAGGAGCATCTGAGCAAAGACCTGACAGAGTGGAGGTCTATGGTGATTTGGGGTAACAGCCAACAGTCCTGGATGGTGGGAAGGCAGGCCTTGAAGGCCAGGGAGAGGATGTGGATAGGTTCTCTGGGTCTACGTGACTGCAGGTGGCGGGGTCTGAGGGGAACAAGGCACTGCTCACCCTCTGTTTTCTGTCCCCCAAGGACATGCGGAAGCACGTGACCATGACCCTGCTGGACACAGAGCAGTCATACGTGGAGTCGCTGCGAACCCTGATGCAGGTGAGGCTTGAGGCTGGTCCAGGCCCCTGAGAGTGGCCATTCTGAGTCTAGGAGGCTGTCAAACATATGGAAACAAACCCACTTTGTGGACAGGGGATGGAGGCTAGAGAAGAGAGGAATGATCCTGGGACACATCACCCTTCCATGGAGAACCCCTCTCATGTGACTGCCCCAGAGGAGGAAGCCCCCCCCTCCAGGGCAGGAGAGATCTTAGAGGGGTCTTAATGAGACTAGACCAGGCCACCCCAGGGCAGGTGCTCCCTGCTTTTACTGTTCTGCCACCTACCTCTGGCAGCCCTGGTGCCTGAGCTTAGATCTGTGACCCACCCCCAGTGTACCTCCTTCCATTTTGTTCATTGATTGGGAAAATATTTGTTGAATGGAATAAAATGTTGAGCACCTGTTGTGTGCCAGGTCCTGTTCCAGGTGTAGGCAGCACAGGGGCGAATAAGAGAGACAAGCCACTGCCACAGGAGCTCATAGTCCTGTCGGGGACATAGCTGAGTATATGGTCACTGTGAAAGCATTGAGAGAGCACCTGTGAGGCATGGGGTCAGGGAATTTTCCCTGGAGGAGGTGCTAGCTTCTTCCTGACCTGTCTTCTCAGCAGCAGGAACAGCTTGTGCAGAGTTGAGTAGGAGAGGCCTGCACTTTTGGAGGTCCATGTGGCTGACACAGAGCACAGAGGGTTGGTCTATGGTGATGCTGGGGGAGCCAGCAGGGGCCACATGGTAAGGACTTTGCATACCAGGAAGAAGGTTTGGGCTCTACCAGGGGCCCTGGAGAATCAGTGAAGGGCTTTGAGCAGGGGCGGCATATAGCCTGACTCATACTTTACAACATCTTTCTGACTCCTAGGAAGGTGGGCAGCGGAAGAGGAGGCCAAGGCCACTGAAGGTGGGTGGGGGAGGAGAGGCCAGGACCCAGGCAGAGGCAACAGGGAGGGAGAGTTGGGGACAGACATTCAGGAAGTGGAGTGGTCAGGCCAGGCATGGTAAGTGGTTGGTTGTGAGGGGCAAGGTGGGGAAGCCCAGGATGAGACCTGGGCTCCCAGTCTGGGTGACTGAAGCACTATAGGAACTCCACCTGTGAAAGGTGGGGCAAGATGGCAAGTTCAGGTTCAGATGTGGGAAGGGCCTGGAGCCAGGATGCATATGAGGGTCTGAGGCCCAGGACAGAGAACCTGGATCTGAGCTGAAGTAGGGCCTGGTAGGCACTGTTGAGGACAAATTTACTCAAGCCACCTAAGTAGAGTGAGAGCAAAGGGTTGAAGGTAGAGCCCTGGAAACATCCAGAGTGTTCATTCGTTTACTCCACAAATCTGCAACAAGCATCTTCCGGGTGCAGGCAGTGTTCTTTGTGAGGGTTCGACAGTGAGCATGAGTGATCAGGTCCTGTCTCCTGGACTGACAAACCATATGTGAGGACAAATGAGGGTGCAAAAACACATGGAAAGTGTGTCTGGAAAAACTGAATATTGTTCATCCAGAAAGAAATTTTGACACACACCACAATCTGGATGAACCTTTGGAACATTATGCTAAATGAAATAAACCAGTCACAAAAGGGCAAAAACTGTATGATTCCACTTACACGAGGGACCTAGAGTAGTCAAATTCATAGAGAGAGAAACAGAACAGTGGTTGCCAGGAGCTGGGAGAGAGGAAGTGGGGAGTTCATGTTTAATGGGTATATAGTTGTGGTTGGGGAAGAGTAGAAAGTTCTGGAGATGGATGGTGATGATGCTTCCACAACCACATGAATGTATTTAATGTGAGTATACCAAGCTGTACATTTAAAAATGATTAAAATGGCAAATTTTATGATGTATGTTTTGCCACACAAAAAATACATTGCTTTTATATGTTAAAAAAAAAAAGTGCACAGAAAGATGAGAACACAGAATGGGGGCCTGCCCTGGTGTCAGAGGCCAGGGAGGGCTTCTCTGAGGTTGGGGTATTTAGCTGAGACCTGAAGGTAGTTAAGAGCTAAGTAGGGGGAGAGCCCAGAGGGAATCATTCTGGCAGAGGGTACAGCAGGAACAAAGGCCAGGGGGCTGGAAGAAACCCAGAGCGGTTAGCGGTGGACAGGTGGTCACTGTGGCTGCTGCAGAAGAGCTGGGCTTTATTGTAAGCACATGGAAGTCACAGAAGGGACACAACCAGAATGCTATCTTTAAGAGGTTGCCCCTGACTGCCAGGCGGCCATAGTCACGCAGGAGTCTGGCAGGGGGTGGGGTCCTTTGTTGTCCTTTAGGTAGGAGCTAAAGGCATTGGGGTCAAGCAGTCCAGAGTTTGAGTCACTTGCTTCCCTGCTGGGTGATGCTAGCCTAATCACTCGCTTCTCTGAGCCTTGGTGTTTTTGTGTACAAAACGTGACTAATCATACCCACGTCCCAGTGCAAAGATTAAAAGGTAATGAGGCTGCTCATGCCTTGTTCACAGACAGGAAGCCGACGGGGCTTGGGTATGCCTCTCTGCCTTCAAATCTCCTGGCCGTGCACGGAGGCTTGCGGAACCTGCAGGTGGAAGAGCCAAGGGAGGGTAGTTCTGAGGAGGCCAAATTGAGAGTGTTCATGGCCAGGGATGGAGATGGTCAGGAGAGTGTCAGCTGAACCCAAGGACTGTCACTCAAGGCAGCCCTGGTGTGTCGGAAGGAAGGACTGAGGTCCAAGCCAGGCCACCAGTGTTCAGACCTGGCACTACCTCTTACCCGGCCATGTGACCTGGAGCAGGTTACATAACCAGTCTCTGCTTCAGCTTCCTTGTCTGCAGAGTGGGAATAATAATAGTACCTACCTTGAGTGCAGATTACAAGAAAGATGTGTGTATAGTTTAGCATACTGCCTGGCAAATCTGTGTGTGTACGTGTGAGTGTGTGTGTATAAAATCACATTTAATCCTTGCATTAGCGTTGTGAGGTAGATATCATAACTCCCTCTTCATAGGAGGAAATGAAGGCTCAGAGAGATTAAGAAACCTGCCCAGGGTCATCTGTCTCTTAAGTGGTATTCTAGTCCATTTGGGCTGCTAGAACAAAAATTCCGTAGACTGAGTGGCTTAAACAAATACAGATTCAGTTTTCAAAGTTTTGGAGGCTGGGAAGTCCAAGATCAAGGTGCTAGCAGATTTGGTGTCTGGTGAGGACCTGCTTCTTGGTTCATAGTCATAGATGGCCATCTTTTCACTGTGTCCTCCATGGTGAAAGGGCCAAGGGAGCTCTCTGGGGCCTCTTTTATAAGGGCACAAATACCATTCATGAGGGCTCCACCCACATGACCTGCTCACCTCCCGAAGACCCCACCTCCAAATACCAGCTCCTTGGGGATTAGCTTTGAGCCTAAGGATTTCTGTGGGACACCAACAAGTAGTGATATTAAGAGCTGACATGTATTGAGTGCTTAATATGTGCACTTTACATAACTTAAATCATATAAATCTCATTATAACCCTCATTTTACAGAGGATGAACTTGAGACACAGAGAAGTATAGTAATTGTTCAAGGTCAGAGAGCCAGGAAGTGCCATAGCCTGGGTTGAATCCCTGACACCCTGACTGTAGGGCGCTTTCTCTCACCAGCTAGTCTGCACTGCCTGACTCAATTCAAACTGAGATTGGACTCCACAGCCCTAGTGTTCTCTCGCAGTGACCACTGCACCCCAAATTGATTGGTATTGTTCCTGCAGGTCAGGGGCCTCTTTTTTTTTTTTTCTTTTCTTTTCTTTTCTTTTCTTTTCTTTTCTTTTCTTTTCTTTTCTTTTCTTTTCTTTTCTTTTTTGTAATTGAAGTATAGTTGACACACTATGTGACATAAGTTTCAGGTATAGGCCAGGAGTTTAAAATGAAGGAGTTAAACACCAAGGGTAATAGCCAGAAGGAGATGGGATTTGAACCCAAGTCTTAAGATTAAATCTTTCTTCAGTGTCACCCTCACCCTTTGAGTCTTTCTTTAACCCCCAAATTCCCAGCTAACAAACCCCACTTTCCCTGACCCAGCCCCCTTCTCCCAGCACTCCTGCCCCTGTCTTGTTTCCCTCACAATACTTACTGCCTTCTGACATCCTGTGTAATAATTTTGTTATTTATGGTGCTTATTTTCTGCCTCCCTCCACTGAAGTGTTAGCTCCACAAGCACAGGGACTTTTGTCTGCCCTCAGGGCTGTCTGGTGCTTAGAAGTCCGGACACTCAGTAGTTGCTCAGCAAGCATGTGATGAGTGGGTGCAGGTGTTGGCTCCTAGGAGCATCTGTATCAGTTTATTCTTTCCTCCCACCGTGTGCCTGCTTCTGTGTGGGGCACTAGGATCCGGACATGAGCGGCTTAGCTCCTCTCCTTGTGGGGCAACAGCCCCTGCCACAGAGAAGGCCCTGGCTCAGACTGGCCTAGGAGCTGTAAGAGGGAGGCAGCCTGCCTGCCTCCTCACCATCACCTCCTGACCTTTTAAGAATGCCCAACCAGGGGGCACCTGGGTGGCTCAGTCAGTTAGGCGGCTGACTTCAGCTCAGGTCATGATCTCGCGGTCTGTGGGTTCGAGCCCCACGTCGGGCTCTGTGCTGACAGCTCGGAGCCTGGAGCCTGCTTCAGATTCTGTGTCTCCCTCTCTCTCTGCCCCTCCCCTGCTCATGCTCTCTCTGTGTCTCTCAATAATAAATAAATGTTAAAAAAAAATTAAAAGAAAAAAAGAATGCCCAACCAGACTAGGGGATTCTGTTGAGCTTTAGTTTTTCAGGGCTGTTTTATAAAACAAGCCAATTTTTTTTTAATGTTTAATATAAATTTTACTGCAACATTGCATTACTTCTTCAAGCATCCTCAGTTCTTTGGTTTGTAGTGATAGTTCGGGCCAGTAGAGGGCGACCTCTCCATGAGCATGCCTGCTGCTAAGCAGGGCTGTGCATTCTCAGGAAATACCACTGATTTGAGGTGAAAAATAGTTTTAATCAGACTGACTGGTAGGTCTGAAAACTGTGAGAACGTGCTCAGATAGTGGCACTAAAGGCCTCCCATGCCCCTCCTTGCTTCATTTTCCCGGCAGCACTTCTCGTTTTTGACTTTCTACATGTAATTGATTCTAAGATGCATTCTTCACCTTTTAACATCTCTGGAATCCAAGTTCATCCTATAATAGATGGCCTATAATAATTGGCAGAAATTCCTTAAAGAGTTTATGAAATGTGGTTTATTTTTGTTTGTTTCTTTTATTTGTGTGTTTGATCTGACTAGATTGTAAGCTCTGTTAGGGCAGGGAATTTGGTCTTCCTTGTTCACTGCTGTCTCCCAGTTCTTAGAATGGTGCCTGGCACAGAGTGAGTGCTCAATAAAATATTTGCTGAGTTGGTGTGTGGGAGTCTCCCAGGAGCCCAGTCTTCTTGCTTTCCTCACTCCAAGCTCTGTTTGTTCATGCATCCAGCTAACTTTCCTGAGCCTACTTACCCCCATCTTATGTCAGGCCCTGGGCTGCACAGTGAGGGGCCTGGGGATAGGTTTTCCTGTCTCCCTCCTAGAGCTCTGAGTCTAATGAGGAAGATCCAGGAGGCATGGCCACTGAGTTATAGACCCAGGAGATTTCCTTTGCACCTGTACTGGTGGGTTGGGCTATCATCCCTCTGAGGGTACTTGTACTGACCCTGTGGGTCCCCCAGGGCTACATGCAGCCACTAAAGCAGCCAGAGAACTCCTTGCTGTGTGACCCGTCGCTGGTGGACGAGATCTTCGACCAGATCCCTGAGCTCCTGGAGCACCATGAGCAGTTCCTAGAGCAGGTGCGGCACTGTGTGCAGACCTGGCATGCCCAGCAGAAGGTGGGAGACCTGCTTGTCCAGTCGGTGAGTGGCCCTGCTACCCATGCGGCAGTGCTCACAAGCTTGAGCCCCTCCTGGAAAGGGCTGCTGCCGCCATGGACCCCTCACCCACACCCACTCCATCTGAACACTGACCCTGATCCCAAATCCAATACCAGAACTTGAGCAGACACTGGCACTGACTGCAGCCTCCGGGTTGACCTGAATCTAGACACTGCCCAACCCCAGAGCTTGGCTGGACTCTGGCATGGACCCCAACCCCATCCAGATACTGATTCTGATCCTGGACCCAACTCTGGTTACAGCACCTGAATTGGTGCTGACACTGATTCAGACCTCCAGTGGATGCTGATATTGACCTCAACCCTTACTGTAACTAGCCCTTTTTTCCATCAGACATTTTAATAGGAATAGCTAACTACTTGCCACCTAGGTGCTAGCCATTATTCTAAATATGTTATAGGGGGCTCCTGGCTGGTTCAGTCGGTAGAGCATGGGACTCCCGATCTCAGGGTCATAAGTTTGAGCCCCACATTGGGCATAGAGCCTACTTAAAAATAAAAGTTTAAATATGTTATGTATATCCATAAGTGTAAGATAAAGGTGCAGTTATTCCCTCGAGTTCAAAGTTGACTCTGTGGCATAGATAAAAGTGACCAATCAAAGTCACAGTTAGTAAGTGGTGGAAGATTCAACTCCAGGAAATATGGCTCCAGCGTCCACACTCTACCCCACCCTGTGCTCCCTTTTACCACAAGCAGACTTCTGCCTGGGAGCTTTTCAGAATCCTACAATAGTGATTGGGACCTTAGAAAAGGTACTAGCTTCAAAATTCAAAAAGAACTGTAAAAGCAAAGCTGATAGGCACACCCGGGTGGCTCAGTTGGTAAAGCATGCAGCCCTAAATTTTGGCTCAGGTCATGATGTCACGGTTCTTCAGTTCGAATCCCAACGTAGGATTCTCTCTCTGCACCACCACCCCC